GTAGGGTCCCCTTGTGCCTCCCCAGCCCTGCCCCTGTCCCTCTTCCTCTTCTCATTCTGCTCCACCCACACGCCTCCTTTCGTTCCTTGAAGAAGCTTGTTCTCGAAGCAGGCTTCACGTTGCTGCCACCCCCACTGCTGTGCCACCAGGGCTGCGTACCACTGCTGCTCCTTGTCCAGCAGGTCTCAGTCTGTTCCCACCCCCATCCCCAAGTCAGACTGAGCATTTGCTGTCGCCCAGTGAGGACCAGTGTTCTCAAGTCTGGATCCAAGGGCCCGGACAATAGGGTTCTCAAAGGGATTCTCAGAGCACTCCGTGGTGAGTATAAATAGAATGAGGGTTTCCAGCTCATTCAACTTTTCACGGACGTCATTCCAATTTTAGAACTACCAAAATTGTTGGCATAACTCTTTCACTGTGACATTCCAGACAAAACGTACAATCGTATGTAAGTTTTTCCTTTTGAATAGTGTAACTATAGTGTTCCCAAGGTAGTAACCTTCGGGAATTTGGGTTCCAAAGTGGTCTAGAGAATGGGTTTGGGGGCCAGGCATAGTAACAACTTAAAAAAGAAAAAGAAATTGAATGTGGTAAAAAGCTATGTATTCCTTGTTTAAATATGTAGGATAAACCAATTATTATGGAAATGTAAATACTACTAATATATGCCATGGCAGTCATTGCTGTCCATTTGCATGAGTGTGATATGAGCAACATTACTGGATAATTCCCTATGAGCAGCCTAAGAGTAACAGTAACAAATAGAAACTGCTGTGGACTGAACTGTGTCCCCCAACCCCAAATTCATGTGTTGAAGCTCTAACCCACAATGTGATTATATTTGCAATAGAAAGTAATTAAAGTTAAGTGAAGGCATAAGGGTGGGGCCCTGATCCAACAGGGTTAGTGTCCTTATGAGAAAAGACTCTCTCTCTCTCTCTCTCTCTCTCTCTCTCTACCATGTGAGGACACTCAGCAGGGTGGTGGCTGTCTACAAGCCAGGAAGAGAGCCCTCATCAAGAACTAAACCTTGCTGGCACCTTGATTTGTCTTTTCCAGCTGCCAGAACTGTGAGAAAACAAATTTCTGTTTCTTAAGCCTCTGTTTACAGCATTTTGTTATGGCAGCCATGCTGACTAATACACCAGCTAACGTTTACTGAGCCCACGGTGCAGAAATGTCCTATGTGTTTTAATGTATGAATTCATCTGACAACCCCTTAAAGTAGTACTTTTCTTTCTCCATTATACAGATGAGGAAGCTGGGGCACTGAGACACTGGTAATTTCCCCAAGTCACATAGCTAAACAATGGCTGAGCCAGGATTTGAACCCAGACAGTTTGAGTCTACAACTCATGCTCTTAGCCACTTCTATTTCCAAAACTAGCAGAAGAATATTTGATGTCATTTTTTGTGGACGTATATTTTTAGGGTTAAAAAATAAATGTAAGCCGGGCATGGTGGTGTGTGCCTGTAGTCCCAGCTACTTGGGAAGCTGAGGTAGGAGGATGGCTTGAGCCCAGGAGTTTAAG